TCCTTCCTTCCTTCCTTCCTTCCTTCCTTCCTTCCTTCCTTCCTTCCTTCCTTCCTTCCTCCTTTAATGGTCCTTCCATGCTCACCAAAATCAACTCTACAAACTTTCTCTTCAAGAAACACGCCGGAGTTCTTTCAATTCATTCAACCATTTCTTCTACTCTCAGAGTAGGGAAAGTCAGACATTTTTGGCACACTGCTGTCTATTCTTACCAGAATTCATTGGCTTTTCAGGTTTTAGGGGGAGATCCTTTTTCTTTTTGAAGCTTTTTATACCATTAGAGGTGAATTTGATTGCAAAACGTGTTTCCCCCCCCCTTTTTTTCCCCTTTCTTTTTTCCCCTAGTCCTTAAGATTAGCTTTAATTTTCTTCCGTTCTTCCTTTAACTGTGCCCATTCTTACTTTTATGATGATGAGTCATAGATTTATTATCGTAGTACTCTAAATATCTAATGTTTATGTGTTCTCAGCAGCTGTGACAAATCCAAGAATAAACAAAAATTGCACATTGGCTTGCAAAAATTACTACATCAAAGGCATACGAGAAAATGATAAGGACACAAACATGCAATCAGACGCCAAAGAATGACCTTTATGCTTCTCAATAATTGTTCAAGGAGAAAACAGTGTGGCAAAACTTCCTTGCAAAATTTTATTTGCATGTTGTAGGTGCCAACCGCATAACCATCAACTTTGGACAGTGGAGATAACAACTAGATCCCAGAAATACAACCCAGGAGTCCAATTACGAGGGAATTGACTTACCCATATCAATTTTAGGCACCATAATGTCTGATAGACTTTACACTCGGGTGCCACCCAGATAAAAAAAAAGGTTTCTTAATCAATTTCACAACCCAACCTTGTACCTTCAGATCGGTACAGGCAGTTCTCAAACCTAGGGCCACAACGAAGCCCCAAATATCTTTTGTTAAACAATAGAATAGCGATCAGAAAACAATCAATATCAATAGAATGTAGATTAGAATAGAAATCTAGAATAAAGTAGAGTAGAGTGGATTGGATTGGATTGGAATGGAGTGGAGTGGAGTGGAGTGGAGTGGAATGGAGTGGAGTGGAGTGGAGTGGAGTGGAATG